AACTAGGGCTCATATTGGCTTCAAGTGTGCGAATATTGTTTCCCATTTTGTTTACGCTTTTAATTATTAACTAAAATATATACCTATAGGTATATATACTAGCTGACCCGGCAAACGTTAGTTTTGCCATTTATATTATTCATAGGAAACATTTTTTTAGTTTAATAAAAATAACTATCTACAATAATCAAAAATAGGGGTGGATCGTAGAGGGGTGAAAATTAGGGGTTGTATGTATTTTTGTATGCTGTATCATAAAAAAAAATTATACATTAGATGTAACTTATCTAATGTTTGGTTCCATAACTCACGATATCCCTTTTATTGTGTGAGCGCTCAGATGTGTAGAAATTTTTATTACCATTATCACTATGCTAATATGTTCATTGTACGTGATTTGCATGAGTCGAGCGTGACCTGCCGACACTAAGAATAGACTACGGAAGGAAAGCTGCCCCCAATGCGCCACTGGAGTGGACACGTGCTCAGCAGATTACTGATTGCTGTAATGCAAAGGGATAAGCGATAGTCTGAGGTTTCTTGCGTGCCGTGACTGGCTAACCTTGATTGTATTATGATGCTTGGAGAAACCATATGAAGTTAGAGTATCACTGTGTCCATACATTTGTTAGTAATTCTTGTTTAGAACAGTCGCTTCTCGTATAAATGTCAAGATTTTGATGACAAGAAAGACGTAATTAGTAGAACGGTCAATGCCAAATTTACAACAAAAAAGTGTTTTCATGAAATAAAAAAATCAGTGGCGCTACAACCTTTTTCCAGTTTCAGATGTCTGTATATAATGATCATTTGTCAATCTAATTGGCAAGTAGGTAATCAGCCTCCTGTGCCTGACACACGCCCTCGACTTTGGGTTTAAAGCAAGCCGGTTTCCTCGCAATGTTTTCCTTCACCGTTCGAGCGAATGTTAATTGTGCACATAGATGAGAGGCGCACGCTGAAGCCACTAGGCCAAGATGTTCATTTATGTTTTCATGAAATAAAGCTTGATTTATTAATAACTCTAGTACTTGAGTTTACAGTATGGCTTCTAGCAGAATGTAGGAACAAGCGGGCGACCGCCTAAAAACTCGTTACGGAGGCTTGTTTATATGGTTTCATTACAGGTCTACGTTACCATCTTTCACTCTTGTCCTAAATAAAAATAAGTATTAAATTTATATTCTTGTTGAACCTGTTCTTGATTGTGTCGTAAACGCGTAATAATCCAGGAACTTTAACCAATATTAATACTAACCTCGTACATTTTACAGTCTATTTATTTGAAAACTATCTTCATAATTTTAAGGTAACGTTTCAATCGGCGCTAATACAATAGTTATATAATTTATACGCAAACAGCCTTGTTATGTTTGAATATATTTTTATATTATACTTTATAGTGGAAAATTTCAATGTTTTGACGGAATTGTACTCGATATCTTGATATTAGTGTCGGCTATCTAGCGATTATGTGAATGGGCTTCAAATCCTCAAACAATATAAACATGTTTTGCCTCAACCGCTCGACCTTCACTTTCAGATATTATTTAAATCACGATAACAAGCTATCGCGTCTTACGTTTTGATATTTTAAAACCTCACCGAATGATATCGTTTATTGCTTCATCCTTCGCTAAATATAATAAACCAGTTTCGTTTTAATCCTCACGACACTTTACATATACCTTGATCGTTGCTTCTGTTCTTTTAGGGTTCAATGATGTTCAATGCTCTGGACAGGTTCATTTGTTACACACACACACATACACATTTCCTTATATATCATTTTTGTTAACGTTGCAGCCTATTTAATAATGATTGTTTATTCTCACTAAATTTTTCTCTACTTTTTAAAACCTGTCGATCCGAAGTGGTGGAGGCCTGATGACCTGTAACACAGGTACTCTTACCTTTAGCAGGCATCAGTCTCACAAACTAATATTTTCCCTAAATAGAAGAAAGAGTTATTTATTTATAATAATATATAACTGTCACTTGTTTATGTACGAAGTTTTTGTGAGAAAATAAATAAAGATTATTATTATTATTGGTGACATGAGCTGGCCTGAGTCAGACTTCAAGTTTAAACCGCCTAACCTTTCTCTGTTTTCACTGCGACTTGCGGTTATCGCTTTTGATAACTAAATTTACGTCAATGTTATGTTTACATTTGTGATATTTATTAAATTTTTATGTGCCAATTAATTGGTTTAATGAGGAAGATAAGTTTACTTTTTATTCTTGGGTCACGGATTGTTTTGGCTTTGAACATATGCAATGTTGCGTTCAAGATTTAAATTTTAAACTTATTATTTTTTTGTATTCAACATTGATATAAATTAATTGCTATAAAAGTGATGAATCGTCACAACAAAACCATTAAAGTGTGTCATGAATTACTCATGAATATTTATAGACTTAAGTATTCAGCTGCGCAAATATTGTAAAAAAATAGTAATTTGTTACACAACCTTGCCATATGTACATATGTATTGAGATAGATGGTATTTAATTTATTATTTTCTATAAATAATATATAAAAGTTTGTTTTTTTATTTTTATGATTGGACAATTCACACAAATTGACCTAGTCCCATGCTAAGCTGGTGAAGCTTGTGTTATGGGTACTAGGCAACGGATATAAATACATATTATAGATAGATAGACATATAAATACATGTTTAAACACCCAAGACCTAAGCACAACACCAAATACTCATCACATCGATGTTTGTCTCTCAGCCGGGGATCGAACCCGGGACCCATGGATTCGCAGTCAGGGGTACTAACACTAGACCAATGAGCCGTCGACACACATAGACCGTGGTTACATATTACTTTAATTTTGCGACAACATTCGACTTCGGTTAGAAACAAGCATCAAGGCTTTGTATTGTAGCAGCGTTTAATTTAAATTCATGGGCGGTAGGCAACAAGTTTGTAAACAAAACATTTTAGAACGTATTATGTGCGTTCTAAAATGTTGTATTTTTATAGAGAATTAAATTTGTCGTCGCCTCGTCCAAATATTATGATGATATCATCACCGCACTCGATCGGCGGGAATCGTACGAGCTTGTTTACATTATTTCTTATCCATTTTAAGCACCGTATTTGAAATTCAAATGAAGTTTCAGAACGATCACGCGTCGAACTGATTTTTCGTTGATTAAATAAATATACATACCAATCGTAATTGTATGTATGTCATCGAACCGTTATAGGTTTTCAGAGGATTGTTGATGTTTGTGCCTAATTGTATTTTTGAAGTTATACTTCTTTTGGCGCGTAGGTATAGGGAAAAATGGTGAGAGTAAATTTTTACGATACGCGCGCACATCGTCACAAAAAACCGACACCCTGAAGTTAGCATAGTCAACAATTTAAAAAAATTGCCATTTCTTTAATTATGTAGATTTTTTAAAATATATTTAAATAAACTTTATTTAACTAGATAGTGCGTTATAATAAAACTTTCAATTTATTAAATACCTTTTTTTATTGTTAATGTCGTTTTTTCACAACAACTTTGGCGTAACAAGATAAAAAGATAACGCGTGTACATAAGTACACACACATGTTTTTTTAATGAATTTAAAGTTACTAATTCCAAACATTTTACAAGTAGCAGCAATCACTGTTCCTGCCTCCGTTGTTTAAAACCAATCCAACAGGTTTAATCATGCGCCCTTGGACCCATTATATCATCGCCTGCTGTATTTGGTACGTGACTGCGAAAAAGTTCACTGTACTCTTCCTTGAGGGCATTGCACTTTGATTTTCTTTCACATGCTAATGTGTGCATTTGATGCAATAATTAACAATATCTTCTGGTCTTAGTGACCTCGAGGCACACTTATCTCGTAGTTATCATTATCTTATTTACCTAAGACACGAGGGTTGAATATATCAATGTATCATGTAATCTTAATAGCTCTTTATTTCGAGACAAAAATTGTCCTGTTGTTATTGCGGTTTCAATGACAATATAAGCATTAAAACTGTCATGATGTAAATAATGACGTCTCGGCTCTAAATAACATGCATAAATGTCTGACTAATAAAAGACGGTTGATGTCCAGCGATTCTTAAATCCTTAATTGAAGGTCATACAACCCGCGCAAATACATAGTCTATATTTAACTGTGTCAAATATAAATTGAGAAAACATTCTCTCGCCACTTATAGAGACACGAAACTTTTTGAGTCACTTGCGAGTAGAGTTTGTGTGGGTGGAAAATGTTTTTCATTTTACCAGCCGTCACATTTTTCACATTGCAAACGTATTGGTCGTATTGAGCTTCTAGTATTTATTTCGATTTTTTATGCACATTATTGCATGTTTTCCGCATTCTAGACTCAAATTGCCATTATTCATCACAGTAGTTTTCCTATTGCTTGATCTATAAATCAATCTGTAAGGTATGTCACCATAAGCTATTATTATTTGTAAAATATGCAACAATTTTATTATTTTAGCGTGAGAAACCATTTTTAGAGCGATGATGTTATCGATTCAATATTTACCTCTGCTAACTGAAATGTAATCAAGACTAGTGTTGACTTTAATAATATGGAATTGGTAAATAAGCATACTTCAAATATTTATTACGTATATTTATAAGTACTAGACGTATAAACTTTTAAAATAATCTGTTCGCGTGACACATCACGTTCCTGTTTTGTTGTACCATTGTGCAAGCTGTAACTTCACAATGGTCGCCATTTCAGTAATGCATAATGCAAAAGGGTTATAGAACAGGAGTTTATATCGATACGGGATCGTTGAGTTCAGAGTGCACACACGGAGCGCGTGGTCGATGACGTATTCACCTCCATTTTAAATAGGACAGCCGCGCGCGCAGACCACCAGTCGCCCGGTAAAACTCATACGCACAACTCGTCTGAATTATCTCCTGTGCCACTCGGTTATCAGTAGTCAATAGTGCTTTATATACCGTTGTTATTACACGTCGTGAAATTTTTTAAGCTGTACAATGATTGATATCGTTCAACCCCGCGATGGATGCCTTTACGAGATCAGACAGAAGGGACAAAAGGATCTCTGTTATGTGGTCGTACCTAATACAAAAGTGCGTTTTGATGTAACTTGTTTTTGTTTTAATATTCAGACTTTTTATTTTTTATTTAATGACGTTTTAGATATAATTTAAATTCTATATTACATATGAATTCTGAAATATTTTTTATAAGATTACGTCATACTTATTATCAGTTTTTATCCTACTTAGGTATACGTTATCATTTGTTTGTGTACTGGTTTAGCAATATGTTTTTTCATGTCATATTTGTGTAATAAATTAAATATCCAAGAATTCCATCAATTTACAAATATTTTTGTGTTGTTTCAGGATCTGGTTAAGAGCCACTTGATGTTCGCGGTGCGCGAAGAAGTGGAAGTACTGAAGGAGCGCATCGCCGAACTAATGGAGAGGATCAATCAGCTGGAGGTGGAGAATAGTTACCTGCGCGCACACGCCAGCCAAGACACGCTGGCGCAGCTACCGGTGGTGGGCAGCAAGCCTCCGCCGCAGGCGCAGGGCCCGCAGCCGCCCGTGTCATAAGCTCAGCGGTCTGTCGACCGCCGCCGGTGATGCCGGCTCGGGTCTTTCGGCCTCCCCCTCGGCGCGCGACACGCGGGAACGGGAAGTCACAATGGCTGTGCTATGTTAATTCGTAGGTTAACAGATGGACGCAGCGCCGAGGGAAGGAGTGGGCACGCAACGTGCATAGCATATCGGAGTTCACGTAAACGTGGCTAGTGTAGAGCCCAAAGCGGCCTGTTTAGCCTTCGATTATTATGCTTCAATACATAGATATATTTTTCTGTTATTTAATCTTTAGGGTGCAGAATTTCGTGCTAACTGCCATGCTTTTGCTACGCGTCTCGACTGAGACTTTTTAGTGTTTCGAGTTTCGACGTTTCGATTGTATGATTTTAGGCATCGCTATCCATATAACGTATTCCATATAAGTAAATTAAGTCGTGTGTTTTGATAAAATAGTCGGATATATCTACGCATTGAACAATTGACTGTTAATTTATTTTGTACTTTTTGTATGTATTTAAGTTATTTATCTTGTTACATTTAAATCGCAAGTGTCGGTCGGTAATGTGAACAATGCCCTGTCGATAGATGTACTGATTGTGTTGTGTGCTTTATCATTTAGTTGTATTTTGATTAATACACTTTATATAGTGTTCGGACATCAACGAGTGATGTTTAGCGTTATACTAAAGAGTCTGTAGATGTAGTCGATGTGAGAGTATGGCCTCGCGCAAGCGCCGGCTTTAGAAAATTTTGCACGCTGAAACTGAAAAAAAAATCTATTTTTATTCCAAACCTATATCGATAATAGAGTTTACACATAGCAATTTAACATTGTATTTTTTTAAATATTATAAATTGTTTGTATATAGTACAAGTTGTAATAGAATTGTGAGTCGGGTGATGTATATAGGGGTACGTCCGATGCCATCAAAGAATGGCTCAAATGAAGTAATGAAATATGTACGCTGTAAATCGCTTTATTGTTTATCGTAAACAAAAGAACAAAGTGGCTGGAGACTGATTGTATGGAAAGATTGTAAATGTAATTAATGGGTCAGTGAATGTGAGGTTTGGTTTCGAAGTCCCAGCAAAGGAACGTACTAAAGTAGAGTTTTATACAAGACTACTACGTATATGTGTATAGATGATATATTTAGTCCTCTTAATTATTGTGAATATGCCGTAATATTACTTCATTGCTAGATATGATAATATAATTCTGAAATTTGTAAATATATTGTAAACAGAATGTCCATTGTAGCTTATGTTGACCAGAAAGGTTCCTCATACCCAATAAATGCAGAACTACTCAAAATGGTTTTTTTGTTTAATTTTACCCTCAAATATTTACTTATGTCAAGAAATTTCAAGAGCTACCATGAGACTAGCATAATGTAATCGAACTGTGGGTTCGACTCCAGAGATACGACCTCCAACTATTCAAAGTTAAAGTGATGACTCATCCCTCAAAGGCCGGCAACGCATCCACTAAAATGGGTGTCCATGGGCTGCGATGACTACACTTAATGGACATCCCGTAGACTCGTTTGCCTCCCTATTATATAAAAAAAAAACAAAAATATTCATGTAGAGATTTAAAAAAATGATTTCTAATCATTCTTCATATGAATTTTGTAAGCAGATGTCTGATAAATCTCTCAGAGGCATAGTGCGCACCATATCGATATTGTTCTTTGGAAAAGCATGGAAAAAATTTGTTGTGAGATACCAAATGTAGATAATTTAGGTACTCACAATAAATACATAATGAATCAAGTAGTAGCCTCAAGTCCCTTAATACTTCACAATCTAGAAGCGTAGAATAAAGTGTCTGAATTTACTGATTATTTAGTTACAAACATCGCTTAGAAACAAAAACATTTAGCGTGAAATATAAGCTGCTGCCATCTTGTGACTTAATTAAAACTTAAAAATCTCTAAGCACTTAGTTCAATAATTATTTATTCATTCGAGAATCAAGATAGTATTTTGCTATAAAGTATACATCGTACTATATTTAAAAACATGCGTTAGATTATTCAAGTTACAATTATTATTAGACTACATTATACTAGACGTAGTGAGATTATATTAGTTTCGGTAACGATAGATGGCAGTATTTTAAATTTCATTGGTCTTAGTCGATTCTTTATTGTGTGCGACCCCAAAACAGAAATATGCAAGTCTAGTGTAAGTAATGGTTTTTTATTAGAAGATAAAATTTATTTTAAGAACAACTTTGTTGTGTTTACACCACTTCTGCAATGAAAAATGACGCTTCGCTAATTTAAAGCACTTCTAAGTTTTATTTCTTTAAATATACCTACGAGTACTTTGTGATTACGTGCATTATGAATCATAATAAGTGTCAGATAACGAGATGAGGAACAAACGATGCTTATCAAATGATATGAGGTATCTGAGGTAACATAGGTACTTAAAAACAATTGATTTATCAATCATGTTTTTTTGATACAAAATTTAAAGCTCTAAGCTTTTAAATTTAAATATCTAAGAGTATGTTTTAAGGAAATAATATAGTCTTGCTAATTACATCGTTTTACAAGTAAAGTACTCATCAGTCTACATTATTCAGAAAGTAAACACCAATTGAATGATTTTGTTTTTATCTATAGGTAAGGGGTTTACTGTAAATAACGTAATTAAATATTGATAATAAGAATACAAATTATAGTAATTTAAAAAGATTAAACTGACGTCAAATACATGACTCTCCAGAAATGCTGGGATGGGTACATACCTCAAAAACTACTAAACTTGAGGAACATGTCGACGTGACTTGGTTTCAAACAACGCATACTATTACGAAATAAGCTCATGTATTTGAAAGCCTATGTAGATCATCATACTCAAATATTATAAAATTCCAACAGTTTCATATTCATACAGGACTTTATTTTCGAAGCCTGTTTAAAAAAATCGTGTCTTATTTGCAAACGCAGGGTGTTATAGTTTAAATTTTTTAATAATTTCTTGCTTATTTAATTAAATTAAATCCATGGCAGTCTTTAAAATTGATTTTACAAATATTTTATTAAGATTTCTTAATAAAATATTTGTAAAATTAAAGTAAGTAATTATAGTTAAGACTCTTACATAGTCTGTGATCCTAACCATCATAATTAATTTTCTGTCTGCAACTGTCAGCTGTCATTGTTAAATCCTGTTTTACGTTCCACGTCAAACGGATTGACTAATAAAAACAAAAATAGAACTTTAACTGGAACTTAATGCAAACTAACAAACTAATCTGTTTTTAACAAAACACATATCATTGATAGGGTTTTTTTAATGTAGCTCAAGTCCGACTATCAGCAATGGATACAATGACATTGAAAGAAATACAAAGCAAGTTATTATTATGGGAGGCTGCAGATAATCCTTTGGCGCCGCTAACTAGCTCTCAAAGGGAAGCAATTTTAGATATAGAGACTCTATTACACGAAGATGAAGAATTGGAAGTACGTTTGTCTACAATAGATATTCATATTGGAAAACCTACCTTTCTGTTTTAATTGTTAACATTTGGGCACTGTGGCATTTTATAATTTAATTTACTCACTACATATTTATAGCACATAAAATACTAAAACTTGGAAGTGATTTTACTTACACCCAGTGGACATGAAACTTTTGTCTAAGTTTCACTGATACTTTTTATAACTAAGTAAAATTTCATTAATTCAAGAGGTTTCCGTCTTTGTGCAATATTACCAATAAGGATTTTTAAGCTTAACCTGCTAATTCTACTTCTAATTTAGCAAAAACCAACACTTAAAATAACACAAAAATCTATAATATTAAAGAATAAAGATCATTAGAGCTATGCACACTGTGCACATAATATGTAGCTAACTACTAGGTTCCATATTATTAAAAAAAATCTTCAATATTATAGGATAAACCACACGAAGAAAATAATTCAAAATCTGATGTACCAGAGTTGAACACAGTGTATGATTTTCTTGAATTTTACAACAGCTTAAGTGAACAAAATGTTAAGGCAAATGATGGTCCTTATGAGGCTTATTATAAACAGCTGGAAGATAGACGTAATGAGTGTGTTTTATTAACAGATGAGGTATAGTATATTTACAGATACCTTAAACATATATAATGAATTAATTACAAAGTATCATCATAAAAATCTCAATCTTATTTTTTGAAACCTTTTTCTTTGAAATTCTTAATAAACCTACATAAAGTAAATGTTTTATAAAAAATATGTTTCAGATTGCAGCAACATTGTCCAACCTAAATAAACTAACACAAGAATATAATTTAGTGTCAGATAAAACAAATGCGCTACATACCATGAGTGAACAACTTTTAGCTGATCAGACAAAGTTATCGAGCATTGGTATAAATTTCTTTATCGTTCTTAATTAGTTGTTGTAGCTTTTATCGGCAGCAGATTACTACAACTGTTTTATTTATAATTGTATAGGCTAGGTTTGTATCAAAAGATTTGTATCACTACATCTATGTATTTGCAAATTAAAAAAAGAGATAGTATTGCAGAATAAACTATTTGGTCGTATAAAAAGAATAAAATAAGACGATAGAACATTAAAATAATGCATTCATTTTAAATTTAGTACTTTTTATTTTAAAAATCACCGGTTTTGTAGTGTGCATATGAAAAATTGTTTTGAATGTCATAACCTGTGTTTTACAAACTAATTCATTTTAACAAAGTTATATCTGATTTGACATTCTTTGTTATGATATTTGTTGATATACATTTGAGGTGGTGACACTTTCTTTTTATAAATCACAACAATAATAAGTTGCCAATCTGAAAGAAATGACATTAATTTTATTGTTGTTGTTTGTTGGATTTTCAATCTATATTTGCTTCCGTGGAATTAAAAATTCTAATATATGGCTATGAATGCTAGAAATAAAATTTTAGCTTAATTGTTTCCAGGCGATGATGTTAAGCAGAGATTACATTACTTCACACAAGTAGAACATCTCTCCCAAAGGCTTAACAGTCCAACAATGTCCGTTAACAGTGACACATTTTTCAATGTACTGTCAAAAATAGATGAATGTCTGAGCTATATGAGGGCTAATGTAAGTATGTACTTCTATAATATGTTGCCTGAAATGGGGCTCCATTTATTGAGTCAAATTGTGAATTTAAACTATTTAAAGTCCAAATAATACATCAAACTTTTTCATTACAATTATTGACATGGTCAATACTATACAAAAAGTTGACTTATCATAATAATATAAATTGACTTGTTTTTATAAATCACAAAATATTTATTATCTTAGATAGTATATATATACATTAGATAAAATAGAATATACAACAAATCATCTTGGTTTAGAATTCACTGTCTTTTTATGCACACTCTCTTAATACTCACTGCACCCGAGACCGAAAAATAATCTTGTCCTGCTAATTCCTGTTTATTTTAATATTTTACTGACAAACGATAATAAATTACTATTGTAATTTTTTCTTCTTACATCTATTATACTACGCTGATTTTAACCTCTATTTGGAGTCATATAACCCAATCCAAATGACACCAATGTCTACATGTTTTTGATTTTAAATGCAAGTAATCGATCAGTCTTATATTCACTTAGCAAGAAAGTGGTTTTGAATAAAAAAAAAACAATATTACAGAGCAACTTCAAAGAAGCCCACACATATACAGTGAAATATCGCCATCTTCAAAGTAGAGCGATGTCTCTTATTCGTAGTTATGTGAACCATATTTTAAACCAAGCAACGGAGCAAGTTTTGTCACCAGAGGAACCAGACGGTGAAACAGTGGATATGGCATATGCCGTTTACTTCGGGAAGTTTCAAGCAGTGGGACCTAAACTACGCATGGTGATTAGTGAGGTTGAGAAACGAGCGGAAAGCAATGAAGAGTGAGTTTAGATCTTATATAATTTTACAAATGCTGTGTTATATTGAGTAAAATTTATTGCTGGCCAGGGTCCTGCCAATTATTTATCATGTGAGAAAATCTACTGTCATATTAAAATTCATCTCGAAAGGCTGTATCATGTACCATGTCCTAACTTAGGGTTAGCTTTTTAAGTTATATTTAAGCACCGAACAAGAACAATAGCCTCTATGAATGTTTCAAGTAGTTTAATGTGTTGTTTCCACGTTACTAGTTCCATTGACACTTGGTAGATGGCGTTCATAAGCTATTGATAACTGAACAAAATTTTATTATATACGAAGAATAAATTTATATTATGTAGAATATTTTTTACATTGATTGTAAAAAAATTATAAAAAAAGAAAAATGTGTACTAAAAACTAATTTTACTGAAATTTAAATTATTGTTTGTGACTTGGTTTTGAACCGACACTCGATCTTCGAGTATGTAGAGGTTTTTCATTCAATCATTCGACTGGGAGCGTGGCGTCTCCTGTAATCCGGCTACTCGGAGGTCTGGTATGGAGGATGGTTTGAGGTCGGGACTCCTGGTGCTGAGTGGCCCATGTTGACTGGACGTCCACACTAAGCCTGGTATTAATATGGACCCCCCGGAGGAGTCTGGGGGGTGCAGGTTAACTAATGAGGGGCGAACCGGGCCAGGGGGGAAACCCAGCAGCCAAAAGTCCCCGTATCGGGCAGTAGTGGGATAGCGGCCGGGAGTGGGCGCTCAGTATCAGCCCGACCAATACAACCAGACCCGTTCCTTTTGCCAAATTCTATTTTAAATGTTATATTTTTAGTAACATACATGTATATATTTACGTACGCCTCAGCGGGGTATCGCGTCCATGGCATATGATATGAATGATACAAAAATACTAAAATTCTAATCAAAACAAAAATATTTCATTTACTTTAATCAAACTATTTCAATTATTGAACTTAATTAAATATTACAATTGAATCGGCCCGATATTAAGAGGTGCACAATCAATAATCTATATCATAAACTTATTACTAATTTGAAAATTTGACCGGTCCGATATGAGGTATCCGATCAAATCTATGTCTGGTATTGCTTATGCGGGCCAAAGGGGGTGCAATGGATATGTAACATAATGTTATCATGTTTGACAACAATCTCCTCATTTGCTGACCATCTGTGTGATTGTTTATGTAAGATAAGGTGTCTTTTGAAACCAACTAATATCTGCATGGGATTTATAGGATTTTTTTTACAAATGTTACATTAAAAACAGTTGCAGTCCAATCTTGGCGTTATATCCAAAGTTCCTATAGGAATATGATATTTGTACTTTAGTATGCTTTCAATTCATGGGATTTAGACTTAACGTCGCATTAGCTAAATGATAGTTACAACCAAGGTAAAGAATTCCACTGTATTTGAAAGAAAAAAACAGTCTTCGTGTAAATTTTCTTTTTACTTGTGATTTAAATCTTTGCCATTATTTTATATGTGAACTATTCTGTTTCCAGCTACGCCCATCTCCTATCAGATATACAGCGTGAATACGCTTCACGCCGTCAAAAGGTAGCGGGCGGACCGACAGCGGGAGCGTTGGCTGTGGCGGGCGAACAGGCTCGCGATCATTGCGCGATGTTACGTTCGGCTTGCTCGTTGCTCGCGCTCGCGTTGAGGGACGAGTGTGCCTTGTACGAGCATTTCTTCTCTAGTACTTCACAGGCACTGGAGTAAGTCATTTTATTTTAATTGTTAATATTTATTTGATGGAAAAATTGATAGTAAAACTAGCTTCTAGAATCTAGACAAACTGTTTACATTATTTTAAAGGTTACATACATACAATGGCGCTATAACTTTATGGGTATTTTTGCTATTATTTTTAGTATTGGGTGTTGTTCCCACGAGAATGTAAGTGCGTGCTCCTATTTCACCATGCCTCCTGCTGATAGAGGACTAATCTGGTTTTATTTCTTTTATAAATAGTTTTTTAATTGTTATAGTTAATTACGTGGAAATTGTATGGTTGCAAGTCCTTACAAAGATTTTGTAAAACAAAAAAATTGGCATTCAAAAAGCGTGTCACACAAGAAAATACGGTTTATTCAGATCTTTCATTTTTATTACTTAATTTATTGACATTCAAAACATATAAGTTTCATATTGTATTAGTAAATGAGATAGATGACTTAAATTTTGTTGAGCTGTTAACCGCTTACTTTGTTTTGTGACTAAATTTTTGAATCGGACTTAATTTTGGAGATTTTTTCGGTTATTTCTTAACTTTATCATCTTTCTTTCATTCAATTCTCAAATAAAGTATAGAACTTAACTATTCTGTTTTAGACTTCCATTGATACTTTTATGTAGTTCTAAATTCAGCCAGTTCAGCTAGTTCTATAACACTACATCCATTGACTGTTAAGTTGGTTCGAACTGCTAGGTTAAGCATTTAACTTATCTCGTTTAACTGTTACAGGTATTTTTTTTTTATTTTTCAGAGATTACCTACAATCTCTAAGCACGGGTCTATACGAGTCCGTGAGACCTCATATCATCCACATCAACCATTTGGAGACTCTCGCCGAACTCTGTGTCATACTTAAAGTGGAAGTTATCGAGGAACAAGTTAATAATGATCGTAAGTTTTTTTTAACAATTAACATATATATAATGTGTGTACATTCCTACTGCTAGTTACAATAATAACTGTACAATTATACAATAATATAGTAATAAAGTGTTGCGAAAAACGGAATACACGTTTAAACACAACACACATATGTTAACAGTAAATAAAATTAATAATTTAAGACATATAACTTGTAAATCTTTTCAAATAGTCTTACCCCTGACTTGCGTGTTTCTTTAATTACTTGTAATGTAAATCTATCTTTTCGTTTTTAGTTTTGAATTGTCTGCATTATATGGAATAAAATGCCACTTATAAAAATTCTTAAGTTTATTTAAGTTGTATTTTACATAATGTAACGAACACTTATTTTAATTATAGCAGTTGTTACGCAAGTCGAATTGAAAATTGTTCTTTTTTTATTCGGTGAAAACCCCCAAATTTATAATAGATAATTATTATTCCAGCGGCCCTCCAAGCGTTAGCGACTGTGGCCCGAGCATTATTACAGGACACACAGGAAAGACTTGTGTTCCGCGCTCATGTGCATTTGCGAGCCGATGTCTTGCACTATAAGCCTGCACCTGGAGACCTGGCTTATCCCGATAAGCTGGAAATGATGGAGGTCAGTCCTCATATACACCATACGATTTTTTGTGTTAGGCAGCGTTCAAGTATTACGTAACGTAGTATTGTCTTTGATTTACATAACCTTTACACATTTAAAGAAAAAACTGTTTGACCGGATTAAAGTTATGTATTATTATAAATTTACAATTATTTAACATAATTTTAAATTTATCCGACGTTTCGCGTGCTTTACAGCGTGCGTGGTCACGGTGACTGAAGACAAAAGGTGTTGGATGTCAAAAAGTATCACAGCTGTAGGGAAAGTTGCCTTATCTGTATTTATTACCCCGGAGTTGGTATCGACTAAAAGATGGAGGGTTTTGGCAAAAATGGCTCACGGTGTCTCTACAGCTGTGATACGTTTTGACATCCAACATCTTTTGTCTTCAGTCACCGTGACCACGCACGCTGTAAAGCACGCGAAACGTCGGATAAATTTAAAATTATGTTAAATAGTTGTAAATTTATAATAATACATAATTTCAATCCAGTCAAACAGTTTTTTCTTTAAATATTACGTAATGTATTTTGAAGGGGGAAGTCCTTTTGTGAAACGTTACGATGCGGGGCGGGGATTAAATTACGCGTTATTGTTAATATTTTTTTCGATTTACACCACATAATAGTAACTAAAGAGTCACTAGGTGGTCACGAAACGTTTTACTGTACTTGGGTACTGAAAAACGTTACGGCGAGTTACATGGGGGGGGTCAATAATCTCCAAAAATTGCGTTACGTAATACTTGAACGCTCCCTTATTTAAGTAACTTATTTTTAATTTATACTAACAGAATAAGACAGTTCCAAATGATACAACAGACAGAAATCTCTCACCTTTAATTCTTGGATTCCTTTCTTAGAGAAAAGTTTTAGTTAGAAACTTACATAGTTTTATGTACTTTTAATAATACAATTTAATGTAATAGGAGGCAAACGGGAGGGCCTGATGTTAAGTAATACCGCGGTCCATGGTATCATGACATTTTATCTGTATCCTATCTTTTATTAATTATATAAAAAATATAGTTTCTGACACTATTAAGAAGCTTATATTTTATGTTAAGTCAGCATTACCCATTCGGTGAGATTTTAATGCAGCTTTGCTCAATATGCTTTAAATATTACTTTTTTTATATTTTGTAAATCCTAATTTCTAATTAAAGTTTTTTTTACCCAATCACTGGATCACTCTTTACCATATCATACTAGAGATGACCAATGACAATCGAGCAATAGTTTCGTTATATATTCTCACTTCCCTAGTGAGTCTTTGTTATATTGAAAATATTATTACTTCCATTTTTTTTTTCCATACCTGTAAATGTTCACGAATTTCTATAGCCTTATATTTTTTGAAGTTATACTTCTTTAGGCGCGTTATGAAAAATTGATGAGAGTGAAATTTCACGATGCGCGCGCACCTGAGACAGAAAGTTGTCAGTGTGATTATAGCGTGCGCGAGCGAGATGGGAATAAGACAATCTACAAGTAAAAAGAAATAGAATATGCGTGAAGTTAGCAGCTATGCCAATAATTTTGAATGACCATAAAGACATTTACCTTTTAAACAAATAAAGGAGTTTTAATTATTTTTTCAAAGAAATTTAGCAATGTTTTTCCACAAAGACCTATTGTTACTTAGTTAAAAGGTTATGAAACATACCAAGTTATTAAATTGAATGAATAATATAATAAAATAATAAATAATAATTGATATTAATATTGTTACGAGCTAGGGGATCGGATAGAAACGCCGTAAATCTCTTCAAGGGTTTATTTTCAATTAAATCTACGAGGAATTTGTTAACACTATAAACTTGAAATTACGCACAAAAATTCACTAAATACACACACAAAATACTGTCACTAATTACTCTAATATCACGCACTTCACACAGTACTTGTATTCACTTTTCTTCACTATATTCGCACTTTGTCACTCCGGTGTTTATCGCTTGGTATCGCATTCAAAACTGAACTAATCGGTCGCGTTTCGGCTCGCTTATATATCCCTGGGAGCGGTTCGAGAACTCTCTAGGCGGCGCGCAACTGAGGGTAGCGAGAAATTCTAGAACGTGCGTACTAGCTATCCCTTTTCGCACATTGCTCCGTCCTTGTCGTACGGGTTCTAGAGTGCTCGGTCTAGCTTCGAGAAGGTTCCGATCTTCCCTCTTTCGCGTCTCGTCCTTGTCCCACACCTAGAAAATTCGTTCTAGAACATTCCTTCATCAAAGGGGTATAACCAGGCCTGAAAACGCCTGAAAACGGGTTTCCTGAAAAGTGTACCATTCGACTACACGTGTTCTGAAACGGCCTGAAAAAATGTTTCAGGCTCCTGAAAACTAGGGTGACATTATGTAAATTACGATTTTCTGATATGTGATTGACCCTCTCATGAAACGGTCAGAAATCACATTTCAGCCTGCTGAAAACTTCTCTAACTAGTGGAAAAATCTAAAAACATTGCAGTCGACCCGTCTTCGTAACAATATCAATTAATAATAATTGAATAATATACTAAATATTAAATATTATTAAATTGTTTACGTTAAATATTAATTTTTAATTAATTATATTTAAAAAAAATAATAAAGAAAGCCAAAGAAGTATAACTTCTTACGCGCGTACATAAGTACACGCACCTTTTTTTTATAAATATTAGTACATAGTACACCCACAGCCGAAGTGTTAAAAACTAATCTCCAAAAAATAATATTTACGGTGATAAATGTTGACACGCTAACTTTGTGTTTGTGTGTGTTATTTTTTACATTAACACGTATGCCAGTACACCACATTCAAGTGACCACAATATGGGGCTTGGGGTCTTCTTAAGGAGTCCCCAAGAATAACTAAGTGTCCTTATATAAATAAAGGAAGCGGCGCTACTACCTTTTTAGGTATGGGCCTCAGATTTTCGTATCTGTTTCATGGTCTAATAAGCAACTAGGTCTAATCTGGAGGCTGATTGCCTGACACACGCCGTCGACTGTTTGGGTCTAAGGCAAGCCGGTTTCTTCACGATGTTTTCCTTCACCGTTCGAGCGAATGTTAAATGCGCACATAGAAGGAAAGTCCATTGGTGGTCAGCCGGGGATAGAACCTTCGACCTCAGAGATGAGAGTCGCACGCTGAAGCCACTAGGCCAACACAGCTCTTATATAAAGCAATATAAATTTCAGAAACAAATATTTTGATATTGTTTATTGTTATGACCAAACACATTTAATTCTGTTACTTTTTGCTCTCTTTCTCTGGAAGAAATCGGTTAGAACCGTTGCAATCAACGTTTTTTTTTTTGCAAAGAAATAATACTAATATGTAATTCGTCATGGTCGTAGAACAATGTCGGATTTGAAAAAAAATCCAAAATCCACTTTTTTATGTACTAAATATTACGGCTACATTCATTGATATACAAAAACCCAAGATGCACAATCAACGTCTAAAAAACGTCCTCAAAAAATGAGCGCAACATTCTAAATTGTGCGCTCATTTCAAATAGTCTCGCGTCTATAAGTGGAGTCGATGTTATTTATTTGTGTTTTTTTTTATAAATAAATTTATGTACTCTTGAACTTTTTTGTGTGTAGTTTTTGACAAATATATTTACGCTATATAAAGTGTGGGTCAGGAGGTAGCCAATTTAACTTTTTTTTTTAATTTAAAGAAAAAACTTTTTAACCGGATTAATGTTATGTATTATTATAAATTTACAACTATTTAACATCCAACACCTTTTGTCTTCAGTCACCGTGACCACTCACGCTGTAAAGCACCCGAAAAGTCGGATAAATTTAAAATTATGTTAAATAGTTGTAAATAAAAAAGTCATGTTCGACTCCACTCAATACCTTGTCCTACCGACCACGGTCGGTCGTAAAATTTTATTGCTTTAAGTACGTATACACTGCGTTGTAATAACAACTTTAAGCAATTCGCGTAAGGTTGATTTTGCAATAATATATGCTTGTAACATATACTGTTATGGACAGAAATAGTGTTTCGGGACACTTTCGAGCGTTACTTTTATTCGAGACTGTGCATCTTGGGTTTTTTGTATATCAATGGCTACATTAAAAAAAATTCCATGTGTTTTAAATTTCAAATTAATGAGTCGGTTAAGTGACGGATTTGATAGAAGCATGTGATTTTTCTAGAAAATTGTGTAATTATAGTGTTATTATTTTTATTTTGTTTCAAAACATACCCTTTTGTTTGCTTGTATGCCAATATTTCATAATAACAGAATATGAATTAAAATAGTTATTACAAAAACTAACATAATTATATTTTTTTAAAATGGCTGCCCTGTAAAGTTTACTATTTGTCTACGACTATGACGAATTTTCCAGCAAATAGCCCAATCACTCCAAGACCAGACCCTCAAGCGCAGCGATTCCCGTAATTCCGTAACATCAGATATATCCAGTGTATCCGAGGTTATCGAAAGGCGGCCGCAAGCGTCTCCTGCTGATCTTCACGGCATGTGGTACCCCGGGGTCAGGAGGACCCTGGCTGCGTTGTCAAGGCTGTATCGGTGCTTGGAAAAACGGGTGTTCCAAGGTATGTCAATAAGTATATTTCAAGGTATATATTATATCTGTGGTCATAGAACAGGCAAAGTAAGAGTAAGTGCCTTCAAGATTTCTTAATAATTTCATTGCTTGTCCTGTAAAGTAATGAAATTGCATTTATCATATTCTGACCTATGGCCACATATACGTAGTTGGTCCCAAAGTTCTGTCACTAGCACATTATTTCTACATTTCGAGCAGGATTTTATAAAAAAATTATTGCATTCTATTTTGGAATGTTTGATTATTGTTTTAAAACAAAAAACAATAACTTTCCGTAATTTTTCACGATGGAGTGGACATTGAAAGTAAACCGAATAGTTGTTATTGCGTTGCACCGCTGTGGACACTCGCCGAGTACCATTTTCAAGGCAAAAATTTGAATATAACGCTTAGGTTTATGTACGGTACTATTGATAGGTACCTTGGAAGTCTCCAGTGTTGAGGACAAGAAAAAAAACTGGCTGGCCACGCTCCGCAAGAACACCAGCAGTAATCAAAGCTATCAAGGCGCGGATAGTAAGAAATCCTGTCCGAAAACAGAAGTTGATGGATTTGCAGATGGGTGTCAGTAGGAAAACAGTAAAAAAGGTTTTAAATGAAGATCTTGGTCTACGAGCATGAGTGGGCACTTACTTAATGCTCGTCTAAAAGCAATAAGGCTTAAGAGATCGCGGGTGTTGTTTAAGCGGTACGCGAAAAACCGACACCGTGATATCCTCTTTACGGACGAAAAATTTTTCGATATTGAAGAGAAGTACAATAAACAGAATTATACAGTGTACGCTAGGAGTTCTGAAGAAGCTGAAAATAAAGATCCAAGGGTGCAACATGGACATCATCCATCATCAGTAATGGTTTGGTTGGGAGTGTCCTATTACGGGGTAACTGAGGTTAATTTTTTCGAAAAGGGGGTCAAAACCAGTGCTACAGTGTACCAAGAGACGGTTTTGTATCGCCTTGTCAAAGACATGTCCCAGCACCCTATTTGCGGACATCACTTCGTGTTCCAGCAGGACTCTGTGCATACAAAGCCAAGACCACTAAAGCCTGGTTTGAGCGTCAAAACATCGTCTTAATTAGACATGAGGATTGGCCTTCCTCCAGTCCGGACCTTAATCCTTTGGACCAGAAATTATGACAGGGCTTAGAGAGGAAGGTCTGTGATAAACCTCATGAAAATTTGGAGAATCTGAAGTCATCTTTAAAAAAACCAGTGACTGAAATCGACACGAATATGGTGCGTGCTGCGATAGACGACTGGCCGCGACGCTTAAGGGCCTGTATTAAAAATGAGGGAGGTTATTTCGAATATTTTTATGCTTTTTTATTCCTTAATTAATGTACTAAGAATTGATATATCACTCATTACAAACTGATCAGTACTTTTGTTTTTATCATTATTTCCATTTATGACAGAACTTTGGGACACTACGTAAAAATCTTTTTCACAGATCTTCAATAAAAATGGTTAACATCTAAAATTATATAGTTGTCTTTTTAAAACGTTACGATGAGCGGGATTAATTTCTATTTTTTTCGACTTTATAGTAACAGAGTATGCACGATTTTTATATATGGGGGGAAAAAAAAAAAAGGGGCGGGAGAACGGGGGGTCCAAATTCCAACATATTAATTTATTAATTTGACTAGTTTACTCTTTAACGTATAAAATCGCTTTTAATTTTAAACCTCACGTACCTCACAACTTCACAATTATTTCCAGGATTAGCCCAAGAAGCGATATCCCTCTGCGTCCAAAGCGTATCAAACGCTGCCAACCAAATATCAGCTTTAAAAACAAGTATCGACGGTCAACTGTTCCAAATCAAACATCTTCTCATATTACGCGAACAAATCGCCCCATTCCAAGTCGATTTCGTCATAAAGGAGACCTCTTTGGACTTTAGCAATATGAAAAATGCGGCCTATGGATTAATTCAAAGGCCGCGACAGATATTCTCAATGAACGCCAATAACACATTGTTGGAGTTTCTGCTGGAGGGTACGCCGATGGTTAGGGAACATTTACTCGATTCGAGAAAAGAGGTCGATCGACAGTTGAAGAATTGCTGTGAAATGTTTATTAAAGATGCCACGGAGGTCATGGCCGGACCTCTTATTGTGTTTATTGAGAAGGTGGGTTATATTTGATTAAATACTTTGTTTGGTTCTATACGATTTTGAAGGTAGATTCTATTTTTAATCAGGTGGGTAAAACAATTCAATCAGGTGGGTAAAAATAATTCAATTAGTTAGGTAAAATAATTCAATCGGGTAAGTAAAAATAATTCAATCAGGTGGGTAAAAACAATGCAATCGGGTGAGGAAAAATAATTCAATCAGGTGGGTTAAAATAATTCAATCAGGTGGGGAAAAATAATTCAATCGGGTAGGTAAAAATAATTCAATTAGTTGGGTAAAAATAATTCAATCGGGTCGGTAAAATAATTCAATCAAGTGTGAAATTTTGGTTGAGAAGGTTGATGGTTCTTTTAAATTGAAAATTATGGAACTTACCGTAGGTTCTGATCTAATCAGAAAGTGGGTTCTATTCTATGATTGCTTTCATCCGTCACTTATTTAATGTTCATAGCGTACGTGCCAGATGGAATCTAGGATAGATTCGATTTTCGGCGAAACTATTATAATTTTTTATTGGTAAGCAAATGGGTTACCTAAAAATATTACTTGCGGGACATAAATAACTAGTCTGCTAACAATTTGTTCGTAACAAAGATTTATTTTTTTAACAGGTTCAATCGTTTCAAGAAGCAGATCAGCTGAGGTCCCAGCCTTGGGCTGCTCCTTCCCAGATAGCTGTTGCAGTTCAAGAAGCACAAAGACGTATTAAGTCAACTCTAGCGCCATTACAAAGGTCAATGCAACTGTATCTCGCTAACAAAGAAACGGAGTTTATTCTTTTCAGACCTATCCGGGTGAGTATTACACCTTATGCAAGCATTTGACAGAAACAATTTGACATCTGTCAGTTTTGACTTTATTGTGAAGGGACCTGCTTAAAATATCGATTTAAGTGATTTAAGTCCATCTTTCTTCAGATTTCCCTCGTCCATGTAACCTTAACTCCCTACTTTCCCTCCCATCCAGCTCGATCGTCAATATTTTAGGGAAATTTATTTCTGTTAATAAATTAAAGTTATAAATAAGATTCTCCCCTCCATACCTTGTAGTAAAATGTTAACCTTTTGTATATATTATTAGATGTCTGTGTGTGTTGTATTTATTGTGATGTCATTTTTGTTTTGGGTAACTCTGCTTAGATAAAATTCAATCTAGTAAAATTATCAAATCTATCCTCACTGTGTGAAGACTTAGAACGTGACATTGGCGGAATTGTGATTTACACAGATGTCGCCATTATAAATAAAGTGAAGTGAAGTGAAGTGATTTAAGTGAATGAATCGATACAAATCAAACGTGTAAATAATAATAAAAAATAATAATTCAGTTTTTAAAAGGATCGGTTTCTATTTCGTTATTTTTATAGAAAACTTACTAGCTTCATTTTTATTTATATTTACATATCGATTAAAAAAATAATGTCTTATTTTAGTCACAATGTGATTATTCATTTATCATGAAATATTCAAAAGTAATCATTGCATTCGATTCTTCTTATTAACTTATTAAACATATTTTTGGTAACATCCCTAGTGTTTCGAAATATTATAAATAAAATATATTAATATATTAATCCTAATTTTAAAAAACGGGAATTGTTTATTATACTGGCTTAGGAATAATAATGCCGCTAAAACGTTACCTTTTTGAATTTTTATGAGGTGTCAAATGTGATCTACAAAATTGGGCCTACAATAGACTTAAAATTCCAATTCTTATATGAAGGAAAACATAACAAAGATGTATATACTAAAATTTTTGGCCTGTGTCGAACTTAAATAAAGGTATCGCAAAAATAGAATAAAATAAAAGTTCATACAGATAAATCTCAAAGTGTTCATACAAGTAGTGCTTAAACCCACCACTATGTTAGCGCAGTGGAAGTATTTCTTACAGATTCCAAATATTGCATTACGTATTTATAATAGCAGCTATAATGTGTCGCCATTAAAATATCTATGGAATACCTATTTTCCTAAATAATTGATAATAATCAATCAACAATTTTGAGTACCTTTAAGCGAAACTTTATTTATTGCACTATTTATCAAACCTTAGTTCAAGTGCCATCTATAATTATCTATCCTATCTATCATAACCTGTAAATAGCACTTCCTGTATATAATTTTTGTATGCAGCGACATCTTCACATCATAAATAGTTGCAACATAACATGTTTATTAACATCACCTAGAGTAATTTACCAATAGATGGCGTTAAATAGTGTAGCAGTATTTTTAGGGAAAATATTTAATTATATTGATTTAATGTACATGCGTTCTGACTTAAAAATAACTATGTGCTACTTTTTCCATTAGGTATATACATATATGATTATAATAATGAATGTACCTATTTGTTCAATCGTGATCCTTTAAAGTACAAAGATATAATTTCTGTTTTTTTACTATTTAATTATAACTTATTTCATGAATTGCACAACGCCTATGAAATTAATATGAAATGTTTCTTTTCAGAACAATGTGGTTGGCTATTTTGTACAATTAGAACAAATACTTACCAACTCAGGATACACCTATGATGATATTGTAATTGTTGCATGTCCAACCCCTGAGCAAGTATCAGTTTTCATTTCTTCTGCAAGTTTAATCAGCAATAATGAACCAGTGTTGCCATATGGGAAAAAGAAGCCAACTAGTGTGATACGTAAACCTAGTGTTACAAGCATTCCAGAAAAAGCAGCAGATAGCTCTAATCAAAATCAGTTAAACTAAAATCACCAAATAATTATACATATATCTGTTATTGTTATTAAAAAGTAGTAGGGTTATATTATTGTACAGTTTTATTTGGCTTTATGTTACAGTGAAAGATGTATGTGGTAATCTTATAGCATAAAGTATTGTATTCACAATCAAATTCTTATTGGGAAGACATCTAAATAATACCAACAATTTATGTGATTTATTTATTTACAATTATTTAACTTATTTATCAATAAATACATACACCAAAGATATTGTGTTTTAATTTTAATAAAACAACAGACATTTGGGTGAGAGGTTTAATTTTTCTTAACTGTTTTGTATATTGAAACTAAGATACACTAATACGATGTTTAAACTCTGAGCCAGTACATGCTAGATCGGATTCTGTTGTAGTCTGGGAGAGCTTCTGTAGGTCCTACTGCAGCTACAGCTGGGCATTTGTCAAACAAATATTTGTAGCAGACTTCACGGATGTTCTGTACAGAAACTGCTTCAATACGAGCATCAAGCTCATGAATTGGAATACGCCTGTTGTAGCATAGGATTTGACGGCCAATATCTTCACAGACTGGTGTAGTGCCATCAAGCTGCAGTAACATGTTGGTCTTCAATAAGTTTTTAGCCCGCTCAACCTCACCTTCCGTTACTGAGTTACAGAGCTTCATCCATTCAGATTGAATGTTGTAAAGCATGTCTTCAATCTGCATAGGTTCTGATACAAAGTAGATACCCCACAGTCCAGTATCTTTGTAACAAGTGTTAAAAGATTGGAAGCTGTGGCACAAGTTTTCAATTGAAGCAGCTCTAGCAAGGTATGAGGCATTGTTTGCTCCACCACCTTGGGAACGATCCCATGCTCCAATAAGAGTGTTTGCCACCATTAAAGGAATATTGTCCGCATCTGTCCAGCCAGCACCTTCCACAGCAATAGCAATGTGAGCCAATGGCATGGAGTCATCTCTTACTCTTATTTCCGAGCCAGTGTAACGGCATGGAGTGATATCTGGTACATCCAAAGCGGTGTTTTTCAGCCCACCTAAATGTTTCTTAGCTAGGTCTACTAATTTACCATGTTCTACTCCTCCAGCACCAGACAGGACAATTCTAGAAGGCTGGTAGTGAGTTTTGATGTATTGTTGAAGGTCTGCTTTTGAAATCTTCTTTATGTTTTTGGTTGGGCCTAAGATGGTCTGTCCGAGGGGCGTACCTTGGAATGCTGTAGCATGCAGATGGTCAAACACAACTTCTTGCAAGTTACTCTCAACATCCTGCATTTCACGGAGGATAACACCGCGCTCTCGTTCGATTTCGGGTTCGGCAAGGGAAGAGTTTTGAATGATATCAGCAAGGATCTCTATGGCGCTAGAAACGTCATTAGCAAGACATTTTGCATAAAATACGGTCTGCTCTCGGGATGTGTAAGCATTTAAATGTGCTCCCATGTTTTCTACGTGTAATTCTAAATCAGTTTGAGACCTCTTGCTAGTTCCCTTGAATGCCATGTGTTCAAGGAAATGAGCAACTCCATTGTTCTTAGAGTTTTCATACCTTGAGCCAGCGTCTATCCATAAGCCTACTGTTGCAGTTGCTGAGCCAGAGTCTTCAGTGGCTACACGGATCCCATTGTCGAGCACTGTAAGCTTAGTTGGTGGAACGTTCACTAAAGCTTCATGCTGATTTGCAGCGGTAGCAAATAGTCTTTGCTGCTTTGATAAAAGCCTTAACGTAGTCGCTACTTTCAACATTTTTCTTTGGAACTGTGCTGGCTGAAGATTTTGCTCGCTGATTTACGTAATGGTGTAAAACTCTGTTGAAAGATGAAATTTGAAATGTCAAATCAGATCTCTTGATCTTTGACACTTTGGAAATGTCATGTTGATTGAAGACAATGTAGGGCAACACCTCACTACAGATAATAATTATCATTCATTACTTAATATATTTTGTAACACTACATTGATAGATGAATTCTGTACCATATTAGAAGACTGGCTACTGAAAGAAGATAACGAAAAAGCGCGGCAAATTCAACAAAATTTAGTATGGTATCCTTAAACGTTTATGTATTAAACTTACTTGATACTTGATTTTATTTTATTATTTTTTACTTTGATAGTAACTGTATTTATATGAAATTAAATACTATACGTATTTAGTATTTTACTATTGATACTTAAAATGACTAGCATTGCATGGAAAACTAAAACTATATTTATTATAAAACACAACTTTATTCGGAATAATCAAAATCAGAATCCAAAAAATCAATATGCATAGATTCATCAGAGTCATTGCTGTTATCACTGTCTCTCACACTGATTATGAAACTTTCTCCCTTTCTTTATATTTATTTTCCACATGTACAACATGGTCAGTCATTTTCTTCCACTCTTCTGCTGTTACATTTTCAAATGACTCTTTAATCACTTGTTCAAACTCAAACTCAAACTCAAAATATCTTTATTCAAGTGGGTAACCAAGTACACTTTTGAATCGTCAAGTTAAATTAATCGTAAATTTACATTTACTACCAGTTCGCAAGTCAAGGGCGTAGAGCGGGTAAGAAGAACTGGCAAGAAACTTTCCGCCACTCTTTTTAATCGCCAAGTATTGTCATACAAATTGTTTGAACTGGAGCAATTCAATCCCAAGGATTAGGATCATTTAAGTAGTCCTCAAATTTATAAAAAGCTTTGTTGATTAATTTTCGTTTAACGAGGGCTTTGAATTTATTTAGTGATAATACTCTAATTTCGCTTGGGAGTTTGTTGTAAAAACGAATACAATTTCCATATAAGGAGTGGTTTATCTTTTGGAGCCTGGTTGGTCTTACACTCAAATTAGTTCTATTTCGCGTATTATACTGGTGAAAGTCACCATTTGTTTTAAAATCGTTTATATATTTTTGGACATACAATAAGGCTTCAAGAATATATTGACCAGATAGTGTCATAATATTTAATTAATCCTTAAACTTAAAAAAAAAAGGAGAATTACACGGCATACTTTGAAACGACTAACCCTCAAAAACTATCTTTTTTCGAGAGAAACACAACAAATGACTTCAAACGTACGTAAGAATTGGTTAGCGGGGGCCCTTTTTACAGCCCTTGTGCCGCCCGCTTCTGTAGCACAAATATGGATTGAACCTCTGCAGCAGCACCCCACAGTAGAATACCGTACGACATAACGCTGTGAAAGTAGCTATGATAAACAATTTTTGCCGTGTCCTTATCAGTAAACTGTCGGATTTTCTTTACTGCATATGCTGCAGAGCTCAGCCTATTCGAAAGAGTATCTATGTGTGGGCCCCATTGGAGTTTACTATCTATTGTTATGCCTAGAAAAACAGTTTTGGCAACAAAGTTTAGTTCACTGTCCTTTATTTTCAGGTTACCAATATCTCGCTTTACGCTAGTAGTTGTAAATCGAATACATTTTGTTTTATTCTCGTTAAGCAGTAAGTTATTTACATTAAACCAGTTAACTATACGAGAGATAGAATTGTTTACATCGTCCAATAATACGTTATTCCTATTCACTTTAAATAGAAGTGAAGTGTCATCAGCAAACAATACCATCTCATGAACTTCGTTGACAAAGAATGGGAGGTCATTTATGTAAATTAGAAATAAGAAAGGCCCGAGAATCGATCCTTGGGGGACGCCCATTGATACCTACGAACCCGGAGAGGTGACTCCATTGACATGAACTCTTTGGATCCTTCCCTTTAAATATGAATTCATCAGGCTGGAAGCTTTGCCATCAACGCCATAGTGTTGAAGCTTTCCAACGAGTATATCAGGATGAACACAGTCAAGTTCTAACTGCTCTGTAGTCAATTTAATATTTTTATTTGCTACTCTGCGTTTTGCCAGACTCCATACCAGGTCAATGGCATTTAGATCACAATGGTATGGAGGTAGTCTCAATACCTCATGACCATTGTGCTTTAAAATTTCACCGGTTTCATATATTGGCTTTGGTTTATACCGTTTTACTAGACATAGCAGTTCTGCTTTCGTACTCTTCAAATTCTTAGTCTCATAAGATTAAATGTTCATTTAAAATGACGACCCTATGTTATATACATAAGGTACAAACATAATTTGACGAAAACAAATATTGTTTTGTATAAAAATAACTGATGAACATTTTAATTATTTTACACATTATATTTGTACATAGTTTTACTTATAAATCCGAATTATCTTAAATTTCTTTCCCAAAATGGGAAAATTAACATATGAAAAGTTAGTTAATGTACATTTTGTTTTGAAGTTATACTTCTTTAGGCGCGTTATGAAAAATTGATGAGAGTGAAATTTTACGATGCGCGCGCACCGTGACACAAAATTAACAGAATGAAGTTGCCCACTAAATCGCTCATTAAGTTGAGGAAAAAATGCTACCAACAAAAGCACGCCACCTCTGTTCACTGTGTATTTATATTAATAATATTTATCCACATGCTTTGAGTTTCTACATTTACAACACGTGTTTTGATTTTGTTTTCAATATACAAGTTCGAATTTTATATGTGCGTCTGAATTATAATCAGAAGTGATTTAAATTGAATATTTAAATCAATACTAATTAATATTAGACAATAATAATAAACATAAATATAATATTAATAAACATTTATTTATTTAATTTTTCAAATGTAAACTGAACTTTATTGACTATAATGACTCCTTTTCTAGTCTTTGATTATTTAATTGTAATTAATTATTTGCATGCAATCTAAAACTATTTTTAATAATGCCAAAGAAGTATAACTTCTTACGCGCGTACATAAGTACACGCACCCTTTTTTTTCTTGCACCACGTGTCACAATACAACTTTAGTAAATTTAATAAACAGTTTTCTTAATCAATCATTAATTTTTAAACTGGTTATCGCATATTTTGTGGCAATACCAAGTACTTTTGGATTTAATGCTTTTATTCCGATACCTTAGAAGTATCGATACTTCTTAAATGTTTTAATTCCCAATATAAAATGTGTATATTAAATTGACAAGGCTCCTCCATTAGTCCACAGTATTCCTTCCTCCAGGGTTGACGTGTTAAGTATCAATCTATCAAATGACAATTTAAGGTATAATTGGTATTTGACATTTTAGACATATTGATAAACGTCAGAATTGGTGCAAATTGAAAAACGACTGACGAATCGACTTGAAATTTGAAAGAAATCATGTGGAAATCATTTCCCTCACGCCTATTTCATTTCGACGAAATATTAGGAAAGCAATGATGTGCAGTGACAATAGTATTTTGATTAATTTCGCTAAATATACCTGGAAAAGTTTGCGGCAAGTGTAAATATCTATTCGGTCCATACAAAATGTTTCCGCTGTGATTAAATCAATCATGACCACAATGAAGAATCCTAATACGTCGTCTTCTAAACTCGCTCTTCTTAGTCATATCAAATATGAACATTTGGTAGCTGGAATATCTGGTGGTGTAACGTCGACTCTGATCTTGCACCCTCTAGATTTGATCAAAATTAGATTCGCTGGTAAGTTTTGACTATGTATTAAAATTACCATGCCTTAGCCTACAGCGCAACCTTTGATACTAAGGTTATATCTGCTTTGTTTTGAAATAGGGCCAATGTGCAATTGTCGTTTAAAAGTGAAATTTTTAATAAATGTTGTGACCTTGAACTTATGCTAGTACACTGCATATAACCTAAGATTACAAACAGGTGATGCAATATTCATTTGCACCACAATTATACTTAACATATTTAGATCTTGTTTTGATATAATATTATCATCATGTTATGTTAGTGTAACTGTAATATATATGATGTAAAATATTATACATTAGCTTGATACACAAATCAAGATACATTTTGATATATGTGTGTCTTTGTTCATAACAAAGAAAGGTTGGTAAATATTATTGGTGTAGTAGTTACAGCAAGCTAAAGTTTAAAAAACATTATTCTTGTATAGCTCAAAGGACTCTGTGGCAGATATAGTAGGTACAAAAATATTAAACTATACTTTGTGCATGATGCTAAATAGGTGGTTCCGATTTATGGCATAATTATTGGTTGGGGGTCACGGCTGATAAAGTTACTTTTAGTTATTGTTGTAGATGTTTGTTCATAATTTATTTATTCTTTTTTTGTTATTGCAATATAAATAAAAAAATATTTGTAAAGATATTGTAACATTAAAAAGTGTACAGTATCATTCAGATATTACATTTATTCATGTATTACATTTATTTATTTACAAACAATTAACATAAACATGTACCACTAAACATGATACTGTACAAATTCATAATGCATTACAAGTTTAAAAATATTTTTTTTGGAATTAAATTATTTTATAGGACGTTGTGCTGATGCTACAAATATAACTATTTAATAAAATCATATGTTAATTTCCATTAAATCCACTAAAATCTATTTAGTTTAAAGCAGTCATAACATAAAATTTTATAACTTTTGTTATAGAATACTAGACAAATTATACAATAATAGGAAGTAAATATCTATGTAGTAAAGCGCATCTATTAACAAGTGTTAAGTTGTTTTACATTATAATTGTTTACAATTCACTTCACATTTTACATATATATGAAGACAGCATGATCATATATTTACCTTGGATATTTGTGCAAGTGCAAGGAGATCAATTTTCTAAGAAACTTGCTTTTAACCTTGAGGCTAAGTAAGGAAATCCTTTTTTCTAGTAAATGACGGCCGGACAGCGACAGTTCCGCGATACGATGGCCTCGGCAGCGCTTTCGTGACAATTGTCAAGAAAGAAGGTGTCCGGGGTCTGTATAGAGGAGTCACTCCTAATGTCTGGGGTTCTGGTTCAGCTTGGGGCTTCTATTTCTTATTGTAAGTGAATTTTTTATTATTATTCAATCTTGTATGAGTTAGCCTTCCAACTTAATTTCTGCTATAAGGATAGTGAATGTTTTTACTTTTCACTCATAAAAAATACTTACAATCCAAATGTAAAGCTTATTTGAATGATAAGCTGCTGTTCACTGATAGGTTAAACTGTTAAATATTTCTCTCATAACTACTAGAGTCATATTTGGACTAATATGACAAGATCCCAGTATTGTCATTACTTGTTCTCTGATATACATATTTGAAAAACTAATTAAGTATGTACCTGTTATTCTAGAATCCAAATCCATATCACTTATAACTTAAATTCGATTGAAAGTTTTTAAAGAGTTTATTAGTGTTATTGTAATTTCTTTGGGTTCAATAACCTTGTATATTTGATCCTCAAATTATCTCTTTCCATTGGCTGATTGAACACAATGTATACATGCCAAACAATAGTATTTCGAGAATTCATGATAATCCATAAACCAGTAAACATAACATACTTTTTTATCTGTATTGTCAATTTATGAACACTTATTAAAATGCATAAGATATTTTTCTGTTGAGTTTTTGGCCTCAGATTCCTGTATCTAATAGGCAAGCAGGTGATCAGCGACATTTCTCATTGCACTAGATTAATAAATCTATATAATATACATGATTGCTACAATTGCGAAAAAAGCTAATAGTTCTGTCGAGGGGCTGCAAATATTTTAGATAAATGATTCTACTTCAAGGACTAGAAATATTTAAACATTTTTTTTATTATATACATGGTTTATAAAATAGGAGTTTATAGTATGGCGGAAACGCAAACATAATTTATCTGTCCACCGGGACGACAAACAAATTTATAACTTGTTTACATGTACGCAGCACAACAAAATAAAAGAGAAAATATTGATGCAAAAACCTGTTATCGAGGCCTATCTTATGAATTGGAATTGTACCTAATAAAACATATGAATATAACTTAAATATGCCTGAGCCGATATATTTATAATATAAAGTGTATTGTACGGTTAAATTTTTTATGTTTCAGCTGATAATAATCCTGTATCCACTGGTTACACCCCTACATAGTTTTTACATATACTACTACTATTCTGTACCCTTGACATGTGTTATCGATTTATTTAAACATACCGGTCGGTGTTTGTTCGTCACCGTACAAGTATATATATATATATATATATATATATATAGCTCGGGAACGACTCAAGCTGCAATCATACGCCTAAACCACTGACCAACACTCATGTTTCTCTATAATTTGTGTTTATGTTTCAGCTATAATGCAATAAAAACATGGATTCAAGGCGGCAATGCCCGGACGCCCCTAGGACCCGGCCTTCATATGCTAGCCGCGGCAGAGGCCGGGATCCTCTCTTTGCTGATGACAAACCCCATTTGGGTGGTTAAAACCAGGCTCTGTCTGCAGTACAGCGAAGAGCATGTAGCTGATAACAAGAGATATAAAGGGATGGTTGACGGACTTACTAAGATTTATCGGACAGAAGGCATACGGGGTCTATATAGGGTGAGTCTCAATGTTGTCTAGATTACGCGGTAATTCACGTATAAATAAAGTTCTAAAACGGATATTAATGCGACTTTATTACAATATACCTAAATCGACGTTTGATTTGTTCTTCAGAAACATTGACTTGTCTAAATGTTATGAATTTTCTTCATCGACCTATTTATTTATTTCGTAATCCGACAGCTAAAAAAAAAAGAAAAACCAACAATTAATATATTTATACTGTTATATTAATTATATAATATAGCCAAAGATGGAATACATGTCTATGTCTATGTATGTGGGTGCTCAAGATGCAGGTGATTTTGCGCTATGGATATTATTAATACTCATTTTAACCATATTCCGCGATAGGTCAAACAAGTCAAGGCTTAAATATTGGTCGTTGTTAGACTGCGCGAAAGTGTCTTTTTTATATGGTTTTTCCTATACTCAATTAAAGTACAAAATTTCTTCCAAAATAGATAGAACCACAAATTACTTAGAAGCATACAACGTCGGGGTGCTTACCGGAATGTATAAAAATAACATCTAATATTTTCACAATGATATTTATTTATTTTATTCAAAAATTATATACTAGCTTTGGAACAAAGTTATTTAAACAAGAGGGTTGTAAAAGCATAATGCAACTTGTATCCAATTTCCATGATAATAAAGACTTTCATAGTTATTCACATTGTTGGATTGGATTTGATTATATTTTAATATTACTAAATATTAAATTTAGTACAATATATGATGGTACGTCGCGGGTATATATATTGGCTATTGTTTGTTCGTTTTGTATTCATTAACTATATGAAATGTTATGTAACGATTTCAAGATATATCCATATCTTTACCGCGTAGATTATTCCCAATAAATCACAGAATTCGCTGATAAGAGCAAGTTCTATCGTCGTTTTGTAAACAAATGTTAAAAACATATTCAAATATATCACAAATACAAAAGCCAAGACTTTGACTTTTTTAATTTAGCACTGTTTATGGTCACGTAAGATGATCAGGCGTCAGTGTCCTGCAAACACTTAGTTTAATTTTATTTACTTATGATTAAATTTGGCGCTATATGGCTAATATGACACGGTTCCAGCCCATTAGCAATTTGTAGTGAAATGCTAATGGGCTGAAACCTGGGATGTTTTAATAAAAAAATCAATGACATTTTTACGACTCGGCCTCAGATTTATGTATCTTTTTCATGATCATTTGGTAATCTAATAGGCAAGTAGGTGATCAGCCTTCTGTGCCTGATACGACCTCAGGGTTGAGAGTCGCACGCTGAAGCCACTAGGCCAACACTGCTTTAATTAATTTTAATAATTGCTATATTAAAAGCGTTTTATTTTTATAAATTTTAAAGGTCATAGTCATCAGGCATCTCTATTAGTGTCAAGTTGTAAGCCACATGTGCCCTACGAAGGAATGAAGACTCCTACGTAATCTTCATTCTCAGTAATAGTAGAAACAAAACATCTGAAATATATTTTGGTGTTTTGCCAAGAACGACCTTATTAACGTTATAACGTAAAACAACGTAAATGCCAAAAGCATTTTACGTTTATTTTCAGTACAGTCCATTGAATAATCATCTTTTTGAATGACATCATCTATATTTACTAGCAAACTCGGCCAAGCGTTGCTGTGGCTAAGGTTTTTGTTATATTACATAGTAGTAAACTATTCAAAGTAAACGGCAGGAGAACAACAGTCATGGGGACCACCATGCTTTTTTGGTGGCTATGCCATTAAATTTTAGCTTATGCGAAACGTTGGTACTTTCCACACAGCGCCATCTGTTAGAATTCTGTCAAATAATAAACAAATATTTTTCAATAAAATAATATTGCGGGTATAAATTGAGATGTAAGCTATCCTATCTTTTAAGTTGGATCAAACTACGCACGGTGTGCAAATTTGATTGATATCGGTTCGGTAGTTTAGGAGTCCATAGCGGACAAACAACGTGACACGTAATTTATATATAGATAAAATTTGTTAGATATGTGCACCAATGTGTTATATATGGTTCCAAAATCTATAAAGGGTTGAAGTGGCTTAAAATCATGACTTATATCATTTCTGTCAAAATGTATTTTCGATTCCAAATGTTCGGCGTTTTCGTTAAAACTGTGTTTAGGTTTTATAAGGGCTTTATTTTGTAAAATTAATTTGATAAGTCATGTTAGTAATTTACCTCATAAATTTACACTGAAATTGTAAATAGGAAAGATTTGTTTTGTGTGGTTGTAACGAATATACCTAAAAATAACTGAAGTCTAAAATTCGTTCACCATTAAATGTCAACCCTGCGATTGTGAAAGTTTAAAAACAAATATGTCTAGCAGTGCAACCGCGGCGAAATTTATAATTCTTAGGGTCTGTTTCACAATGTACGGATAAGTTCTACATAAGTTCCTAATTAGTTATTTATTACTTATCGGTAGGATTAAACACTATTGTTGCGTTTCACGACTGTCAGATAGCGCTATTCGTCACATAAAAGTCCGTCATAAGTTATGAGTCCGATGAAGTGTCAAATAGCACAATTTATCTTCCAAATAATTTATGTGTTGCATAGCTATTTGGTACTTTATCCATACACTGTGAAACAGACCCTTAGAAAATTTAAATAATAGCAATTCTACATCTTCGTTAATTATACATATTACGATATTTAATTAAAAGAAAACTGTATTTCACGCATTTTACTTAATCCGGTCACCTCAGAATTCATATTCTGATTAAAATCGCGTATTTATAAGTTTCGTTAATTGTTGAGGTTTTAATGAAATCGCTTTAAGTAGTTTCGATAAGCCAGACGTCGGAATGCCAGTTATGTAACGGTCGATTTAATACTTAATTAAAAAGGTATTTACGATACTAATATTAAATTATATTCATTAAATTATTTTTAAATATAATTTCATATTACTGATTTTAAATTTCACCTAATGGACTTCGGTAATATTTACGACTTAGGTTCGATAAAATGAACGAGACGAAACGAAAAGAGTAATAGAACATTAGCAAGTTTAAAAATGTCGCAGTACAGCCATAACTATTAATACCAGCTAATTATCTCATATATTTTGATCACCGAGTTAAAGATAGACACAATATTATTGTGACATTATGATTATGAAGGTTAAGGCTATGTTCAGATGGCAAAAACTTGACCGCTTTTCAAATCCACTAGAGATATGTTAAATGTAACGGCGTTAACGCGGCGTCAACGCGGCGTCAGAGAAAAAGTCTCTAGACCGTGATCGGGTTAGGCTTTGATATTAATGTAATGTCGTTTGTGTTCAGATGAGCGGGCTTTCATCGCGATCGATGTAATTTTATTAATTTTCGTAATTATATTTTGTTTGGTTTTAAAATATGAAATTGAAGATATTGACATGACTTACTAATGATAAGTAGAAAAAAGGTCAAAGTTGGAATATAGAAATTTGTATAAAAAATATAATATAAATTGTATTTTTTTCAAAATTGATAAACCCAATGTGAGTTCTTTTTTATATTTTTCTTTATAATATAACCACAAAATAATAGCTTTCACGTCATTTTTACTTAACTAACTGAAGTATTGTTTATATTATTGTGACATTATGATTATGAAGGTTAATATCTTATCTGTGTAGAGTTGAGCTTACTCTAAACCGCCTAATTTCAAATTTGGAACTCAAATGATAATCACGGTCTAATGATATATTATGGGCCACATTGTTGTCTATTAGCAGTTTAAAATTTGAAATTCGAATTGTATAAACAGTATGGAGTTCGAATTTTAAAAGTAACACACACACACTACCAAGTTAACTTTTACTGAATTATAGTGTGTCTTAAAATGGAATTGCCTTAATAGTATAAGATCCCGCTATACAACGACCTTCACCGAGATGCTTATTTAATGAAACTTATTTTATATTTAATTTAATATGTCAATAAATATAATCCATATGGGTTGCCTAGCAAATTTCAGTCCAGAGTATGTTTAATTAATATTAAAAAAAAAAATTTTTTTTTATAATTTGCATGTAGTATATTTTTTGAACTTTTTTCAATCAATATTTTTAATCAGGGTAGTATTATATATTTATCACTATAACCTTCTTTTATACTAAAGATGTATATATACTTTAGTGTCACATCAAAAATATACACATAAAGAATTAATTGATTAAAAACAACCTAACGTTTGCATATTCTATGGGCTTCATACGTTCGATTGGTATAGAATTTATCTAATAATCATACCGGTGAAATGTTTAAAAAAATATTTTTTTTTTAATTAATTAAACATACTCTGGACTGAAATTTGCTAGGCAACCCATATGGATTATATTTATTGACATATTAAATTATATATAAAATAAGTTTCATTAAATAAGCATCTCGGTGAAGGTCGTTGTATAGCGGGATCTTAGACCATAAGGTAATCTGCCTCAGCTAGCTAGCCTAGCTTAATCCATAATGGAACGGTTTTTGTGTTAAAATGATAATTGTATCAAAATTTTCCGCTACGCACAATTGGGACATCGTTCCTTAAGTGTATAGTGCGTTATCGGTTATAACGATAAACAGCTGTACTCAGAGTCGTTCATAACATGTTAACGGTTATTTAGTACGTATATAAATAATAGATCCAACCGGAAACTGAATGGGATTATATGAAAAATTTATTCCAATCGGTCCAGCCGTTCAAGAGGGTTTCAGTGGCATACACACGTAGTAGAATTATAATATATATATATATATGAAATCATCCATCACATATTTTTTCTAACTTTCTCTCTAAAAATCTCGACCGAATTGTTGAACTACATATTGCCTCTGATGAAGGGAATAAAACATAATTTACCACGTTTCAGTGCACCCGTTTCACTGCCCGTAATGCAATTTTTGGAGATTATTGACCCCCCTCCATGTAACTCGTCGTAACGTTTTTCAGTACCCAAGTACAGTACTGTACCCAAGTATAATAAAACGTTTCGTGACCACCACACTCTTTACTTGTGGTGTAAGTCGAAAAAATATTAACAATAACGCATAATTTAATCCCCGCCCCGCATCGTAACGTTTTACAAAAGGACCAGCCCCCCCCTCCCAAAATACGTTACGTAATACTTGAACGCTCCCAAAGATGAAAGAATTTCTCTAGTTAATCCAGAAATATTTGATTTCAGGGTTTCGTTCCCGGCATGTTTGGAGTATCACATGGCGCTCTACAATTTATGACATATGAAGAAATGAAAAATAGATACAATCAATATAGAAATCTGCCCATCGACATCAAATTGGTGAGATTTCAAACAATTGTTTATTAATAATAAATAGGAGCTTGCAGGTTCGATTCTCGGTGAAACGAAAATCTTTCTACCTTTAATAATTATTATTAGTTTAGGGACTTCGACTGAATAGCGTGATATGATTTTTTCAGTAATAATTTAAATAAAAAGGGTACGTGTACTTATGTAAGAAGTTACACTTCTTTGGCATTATTACAAATAGTTTTTGATTGCATGCAAATAATTAATTACAATTAAATAATCAAAGACTGGTAAAGGAGTCATTATAGTCAATAAAGTTCAGTTTACATTTGAAAAATTAAATAAATAAATATTTATTATTATTCTCTTACATTAAGTGTAACATATATTATATTATTATTCGAATGTTGTTTTTAAACTATGTCCAATGCCGTAGCATCTTCCGTGGGCAACTTCATTCTGTTAATTTTGTGTCACGGTGCGAGCGCATCGTAAAATTTCACTCTCATCAATTTTTCATAACGCGCCTAAAGAAGTATAACTTCAGTAAAAAGTAATGTTTAAAATGGAATTAACGTTGCTGCTTCACTCCATATATAATAGAAATGTATGAACAATGAATAATTTATTGTTACGTAAAATATACTGCTCAAAACAATTAGCGGAACAAGATTTTTCTCCTTTCTATTGCTTAAACTAAAATTAGATTTAAATTAACTTGTACGCTATTTTTTACCTTGTTAATTTGTTAATTACTACGATTAATAAAAAAATTAAATTTGTATTTTTTTTATTAAAAAAAATTAAAATGTGCGTCACTTTGTTTTAGATAGACGAAAAACAAAGTGACGTCTTTGAATTTTCATTACTTTCTAATCACAGAAAACACATTTTAAGTAGTTTTTTTCAATCTTTTGAGTATTAATAGAAATTGAAGTGAGCCTTTTGAGTATTGTTATTCATTGAAGCGAGTGAGTTTAGGTCATAATGCCAGATCTGACTGAATTGCATGTCTCCCGAGCTATCGCTTTGCTTGAAGAGAGTCGAACTATGCGTTATGTAGGAAATGATCTAGGAGTAGCCCCTTCTGTTATCTACAGACTTTGGAAGCGATACCGAGAAAAATCTTGTTCCGCTAATTGTTTTGAGCAGTATATATATGACTGCGTCAATCTATGGCTCGTAGTATCTCTATTTTATTATTGGCATAAATTTCTCCTGTATTTTATGTTTTTACACATTTTTCTTTGAATTTATTTAATTTGAAGGACATCTCTATGATTGATTACATAAAATTCTGCCAGGGAGTTATTGGCAAACTGAACATTCATAAAATTACTAACTATATATTTAAAAAAATGGTGCAAAGTTAAAGGTGTAAACGCAAGGGTATAGTGTGATTAAATAGTCAAAGTGGTGGTGCTTAGTACATAGCACAACCAAAGACCCTTGGAAGAATATTTATCTACACTATAAAATTCTATTGATACATTAATAATAGAATAATCCTTTTATATATTACAATTTGAACGAAGCTGCATTGGAACATTATACCTTTACATCAAAATTTTGTTTTTATATATTGCCTTATTCTTAACTTTTTATTGCCTTATCTGACAATATCCTATCTTAATAAACGGTACAGACGTTGCCAAAATACCTGACTCACTATTTAATTTACCATTACAGACGTCGGTAGAATACCTGACGTTCGCGGCAGTGTCGAAGCTGCTAGCTGCGGGTGCAACGTACCCGTATCAAGTGATTCGCGCCCGTCTGCAGGATCAGCACAGGGTTTACCAAGGGGCGTGGCACTGCGTCACTGAAACTTGGAGGTACGAGCGATTTCGCGGCTTCTACAAAGGACTCACGCCGTATCTCCTACATGTAACGCCTAACATATGCCTCGTCATGTTAATTTGGGAGAAATTCACTAATAACGATTGATTCACTCTATCTGATGGGAAAAACGTACACTTGTGATTTTTTATCTGTATTTAAGCTTGGAATGATGATCTGTGCAAAACGCTAATCTGTGCAAAGTGTCAAAACGTGTCTCAAACTACAACTGTCACTGCACTCTCAAAATATTCTACTCGTTTGTGACCATGATTGTAACGTGCCTAATACAAGTCGTCATTTCAAGCAAGACTAGCTAATTTGGTAGCAATTGATAATCTGTGCTTAGTTTTGACAGCTGTCACTGTTAACGAAAGACATGGCGGCGTTTAAGGTAAGCTTAGCGGTAAGCGGTATTTAAGAGTTAAAAAGTGCATTTTGTCAGTCCCTTCCCATCTTTGAATTGTATTAGCCGTGACAGGTTTTGTTTTAGACGAATTTAATTGTTGTACGATTGTATTATTGTAGCCATTCAGAGCCTACACCATGACTGACAGCAATATTATTACTTTAAATTCTTTATTGCATTGTATCAAGGTTTATTTTACATTAGACACATATTCAGTCAGTCTTTGAAATCTCGTGAATCGCTATAGCGTTTTTACTGCTACGTCTTAAGTTGTTTTACAATGAATTTCAAGTATCTTGCTTACGGTCATGGTAACTCCAGGGCTGTCTATTCAGGAAGATAATTGAAAATGAAATAGGCAACCCTGAACTGAAATTATGTAAAGCCTGTCTCACGACATGTGTTTGTATTAGTCGTAATCTGTGTAATGTAATTCCCATCAGATCGGTTAATTATTAATTTAGAATTAAATTGATTTTTGTGATAATAGTACTTAGAAATCAGTTGTAAAAGACATTTAACGTTACATGTGTGGTGAGACGACGTTAGGATCTTTGTTTAGAATAATTTTTAACTGTCATTAAAAACTCCCCATCTTCATTGTCAGTATGTCATTTTAAAATCAATAATTCGAATTCCCGCGTTTTTAAAATTGTCGCCATTTTGAAAATTTTAATTTTAGAATAGATTTAAAATGTGTATCCGTGATATGCATTGCAGTAAGACTTTAGAAAGCAACAACAGAGTATATCTTATTTTTTATTTGTGTATTCTTAGCCACGTAAGGAGGCTTTCCAATAAATAAACTAGTGACGTAATATTGTCTTTGGTGTGCGAATGAGATACATTTAAATAAATTTTGAACGGATTTAAACGTAATTTATTTTAACTCTATTGTTTGGTACAGTTGTGGTCAGCGAGAGGCTCTCTTAACTCCGTTATTTTTTTATTTAAATGTGCTGTGACATTTCACACTGAGAATATAGCAGTTTTAACTGCTATTTTGTAATCTGACTAGTCTCCTTAGCCTGGCTTTTGTTTGTTGTAAAATTGTTTATACTCTTACTAAACTGCGTGAAACGGAAAAATATACACCAAATGACGTGATTGACATTTATCATTCGTTCGCTATTAATTTATTTCGGTGGCTGGCCACAGTTATTTACTTTTATATATTGATCGCTAATTTTCAATGTTTCTAACTCGCCTTTTCAATTTGTGTAATCAATAAAAGATAGCAAATTGATATTGTGCCACTTGTTTTTATTCACCTCGTTTTAATGTTTTATTTCTCGCCTAGATGGCGCTTTGCCAAATTTTTAATATTGAATTTTTATCTACGCTTTTAATGCGTCGTCAAATAAAAATAATTTGATACCCAAATCCAACATTTTTGGTAAGTATATGAATTGTTTTACGCCATTTTCATACTTTAGAATATATAACTGAATTAACTTTACAGGCACGAGGGATGGCGTGGTTTCTACAAGGGACTGAAACCGAATTTGATCCGTGTTGTCCCTGCAACAATGATTACTTTCCTAACATACGAAAATGTATCGCATTTTATGCTTAATCGAGGAAAAGAAATAAAGATATCCTCCTAAATTTCGTAATTTTACTTGCCTTTATATACTTTTTATTACAATTCAAGATTTGGAATATCGTGAATCATAGATTTCCATATACGTTAAACACGATTTATCGCAATATTTCCCAGTATTTAATCATGGCGGTTTAGTAATAAAATCGCACACATTATTATTTCAAACCATTACGTTGAGGGTGACCAAAGTGAACGGAAGTCGCCATTTTCAGACATTTTATTCTTTCAGAATGAAATTATATTTTTTATTGAATATAGGTTTAATTAATTGGTAAAGTAAAATTGTTGATTCCTATTAAGTCGTTGGTCGTTAATTTTTCTTTAAGTTCATGTCAAATCATTATAATTTGCTTGATCAGCGCGGTATAGACTTAAATTAATTTTATTGGCTCCAAAGCCATGACATTAGAAAATTATACAATAACTTTAATAGTGTAGTAAACTATGTGTTATTGTCAAGTACAAATAAACTTTAGAAGCTATATAAAGTTTAACCTGTTTCTATTTCCCAAAAACCAGTCGTAATTCTTAATTAAGAGCATATTCGTTTGTTGCTACCCGGGTCCTGTAAAAATATGATTCGTAACAGTTACGACTAGTTTTTCGGATAAAATACATTTTGTTTCAACTGCGAATTAAAGCGAAGTTGGCTGTGTTTGAGTGACGTTTATTAAGTTCATTCTATCATTTTTATTTTAAGTATGTATGAGATTTTTGTATGAATAGGTAGAATAGTTTTTGCTTTGAATAAATTGGGTATGAATAATGTGTGTTTTTATTTTCCCAATTACAAAACAGTATGTAACACAGTCGCTGTAACGCTTCTTTAAGTAAAGTTTTTTATAATTTGAAAGTTAAAGAGGTCAATTACTGTCTAATCTCTAATTAAGGCCTAAACTAATCCAGTATTAATACTTATTTAGATTTGTAATTTTGAGATGATGAGATTCGGCTAAAAAACTTAAAAATAATAAATTTCCATTAAAAAATATGTTGCGACTGACTGCAATTTCGATATAGCTGACATTAGAGTAGCGATTTTACAGTAGCGATATTTTATTTCGTGTTATAAATTAAATTTATAAAATATTAATTTTTGTACATTATTTGAAGGGAACAGTACCTGCCATAAAATCTCCAGGTATTTAATAAATTTAAATGTACTTGTCATTCGATTATTTTACATTTTCTTTTGAAACTCGTACATGGCGAACGGGTTTTTTTAATAATAAAAGTTTTGTTCTAATAAAATATGCTATGTACAGTACTTCGGTGCCTGACTCGTACATAGCACAACAAGTAAGCGATTCCGTGGCATCAATTGATATTTAGAAATAAAAAGAATATTTTGATTTGGTTAAAAATTTAATTGATTAAAAATTAAAAAGCAAGCGTTACTGCCATTTAAAATTTATGAATAAGATAGTATATACAAAAACAGGACTATGTATTGTTTATTAAAAAATTGTGGTAAACTAAGGAATGCAGTGTAGGTATTCACTACTAGCGGTCCGTTCCAGTCGCACGGCTGGACATTTATTTAAAAATGTAGGTATTGATATATACTTTAATATTGTGGAACATGTTTTTTTTCTATCATCAATAGTTTTCGCAGCGCATGCGATGCAAGATATTGTATAGGCAGTTTTTTACACCTTGGGTAACATTATTGTAGTTTTAGTCGGGATCCTTATCTATTTTTGTCTTTCAATTAAAATTGCCTATATTAAATGTAGCATTCAAATGGTGATTTTTTTTTAAATCGGTCCAGTACTTTTTGAGCCATTTCGATACAAACATACTTACATACAAATATTTCCTCTCCTATAGTATTAGTATAGATAATATTTTCGATTCTAGTCATATTATATGCTAGTACGATTATCGTATTGAGTCTGGAGATCTTTTCTTAAACGTTTTGGCATATACCGGGATAGTGACATCCGGAATTCAATACACAATAAAACCATAATCATTTGTCATTGATAGAATACTACTTTTTTTTTTTTTAAAGACAATTCACACCAATTGACCGAGTCCCATGCTAAGTTGGTGAAGCTTGTGTTATGGGTACTAGGCAACGGATATACATTCATAGATAGATAGACATATAAATACATATTTAAACACCCAAGACCTAAGCACAACACCAAATGCTCATCACATCGATGTTCGTCTCAGCCGGGGATCGAACCCGGGACCCATGGATTCGCAGTCAGGGGTACTAACCACTAGACCAATTAGTCGTCATACTTATTTACTGGTACTCGCTAAAATTTATAAAATATAAATATTCCAGCGCCATGCCTTATGCCGTGAATTAGAATTCAAAGTTAATTTGGAACGTTTAATCAGCTTGAGGTGACATTAGAAATTAATATAAGTAAGATTAAAGGATAAAAAATTCTCACGCACTTAGCGATTTGGGGGCTTAAGAACGCCCAACAGCTTATACTAAGGGATCATTCACACTAATCAACTATCATATATTATAGCAACAGGAAATAATTCTTTAATATATTTTTTTCAATTTTAGTTTGAAAATAAATAATCGTGATAGTTTTATCTAATTTAGGCTTTTATGCTAAGTTTTGATACAATATAAAACTTGGTCTTAACAAGCTAGATTTTAATCGCTTTAGTTCGCTATAGAAAATATTAATTTCAATCAAATTTAAATAGTTTAAAGCAGATTAGGTTAGGCAACTAAATTAACAATATAATTCGTACTGATATGACAAAGTTTTATGTAAACTTTTTGTACTAGTATCAAGAGACAACTACATAAGCAGTTACATATTTTATCAAAAACTTATAAGTGTGGGAAGATGTGAAAATGTTTAAAAAAGTACAGCAATTATAAAGTAAGTATTACCAATTAAATAGAACAGCATAGACTACTACATAAAATAATTATATTTTAAATACAATCCTATTTTATAACAGATAATATTTCTTATAACAAAATAAATCTGCCTCAAATGAAAACTCGCTGACAATGCGCCACACTATATTATTAAATACATATATATGTATAAAATTAAATGGTAAGTACGCGGTGACACTGGGTTATTACAAAACGGATCTTCCTATCTCTTTAAAACCTATGAAGAGTTCTTTAATAGATTGAAAATATCACACAACACCATCAGTCACTATCGGATATAACAAATACCTCAAAAGTAATTGGTAACCTTTGCTGTTGTATTATAGTTTAAATTTACGTTTATTAACATTGACACAGAACACGCTGCCATTTAAAATGACTATAGAACATTGGCTATTAATATTAAGCAAGTAAGGTACTCTTGTAAGGTATATACGTATATATATTTATATTTTAACTATAAACTATAATTCAGCGCAGTGGCCATGAGAACATGGAGAAACTGTTCGTGGTTGGTAACACAGAAGGCAAACGATCACGTGGCCGTTCACCTACCAGATGGACCGATCAAATGAAAGACTCATCGTCCTCAAAACTGTACACTGTCATAAGAGAGGTGCTGGACAGAAACCAGTGGAAATAGATAGTCCGCTCCAGATGCTTTCTTGCTGACCACGGCGCTGAGACATCATGAGCTGCCCATTGAAGAGAGAGATAATTCCGGGAAAAACTGGTTGGTTTCGATCCACAAATATAAATAAAGGGGGAATTGCAAAAAAAAATGACATAACTTTCTGTTAAATAAATCATACAAGTCAAGAGTTGAAAATCATTTATTCATATAGGTAACACATTGTACACTTATGAACGTCAAAAAAATATATATGAAATGCTTCTAATTTTATATTTACTGCCAGTTCTCAAAACAAGGGCGTAGCACGGAAGAGAAGAACTGACAATAAACTCTCCGCCACTCTTTTTAATCGCCAAGTATTTTGTTTTACACAACGTTTGTAAGGAGCTGCAATCATTACACCATGTTCCAAATGACCTACTTAGCGCCTCATCAGTTTAACGAATTTATAGAGCAGAGTAGCGGAAATTACCCTTAATAAATATTAATAATATCTATTTGAAATTGGTTATTATCTAAGTAGGATGCAGATGCATAGAAGCCTCTAGATCGTACAAATCAAGTTTTGTAAGGATCCATTAACAAAAACGTGTTTGTAGACGCGTCCTTATCGTATTGAGTCCAGTCGCCGGCCGTGGCTCACCGCAGTTTTACCGCGACTTTCGTAGACATGTCACTGAAATACTAGTGTTGTGTTGTGTGTGTGTGTGAATAAATCTACTTAAAATGGTAAGGATGTGTGTATGAACGCATAGATGGCGCTTTACGTAATATTTTTCACGTTAGCTAGGCGTTCATGTAGTTTAGGTTACGCGAGTATTTACCATTTAGTTGGATAAACAATTTTTTTACACAATTCGACGTGTGATTTTCTACAGTTGTGGACAGCGAGCGGCTTGCTGCGACTTCGCACGGCTGTATAATGTATTATATTATAATATTTAGATTTGATTGTTTGTTTGCATTGAATAGGCTCCAAAACTACTAGAAAGATTTAAACAATTCTTCACCACTAGAACAGTACGTTATCCCTGATGAACATGTGTGAATGTTTAGAAAAAAAATAGGGTTCTGTATGAAATCATAATAGCGTGACAAAGGTGTGCAAAAGACCAATAAACCGGACCAATTCTCCGGAAACTATTGACAATAGAGCAAACTGATGTACTACAGTTTGATAGAAGACATCAATATCTACAAAAAGTCCGTGACACCACATTTCTAACAAATGAATATTCTTTTTGCATTTAAACGTCTATTTACCGAGAAAACCTTAGGCTATAAGAACATCGTGCTACGACTGACTTAATGCGGTCGGAACCGCAGAGCACTACTAGTTATAATAATACATTTTGGAGAAAATTAAGCATTGAAATGGCGACATTTTTTAATCGATTTTTGAGTTTATTATTTATGAATCTTTCCCTCTTATACTGTCTTTATAGATTTACAGTTGTGCTCAGATCCCTCCATATAGCTA